TTGCTTATTAAGTTTCAATGAACAAGTCAAGTAAGGATCTTTCTCTGAAAGAACTTGACTTTGTATTGTTTGTTTGGAATCAGTTCAGATTCTAAGGTGGCCGACAGGTGCAAACATGCTACAACAGCCTAAAACACTTCCTTTAGGAGAAACACGCTGCAGCTTCAAGAACGATGTAAATAAAAAAACCACAAAGGTGCCAAAACACAACTAAATGAAGAAACATCGTCAATTACTTTACGAAACATGCTCAGCTTTTACTAAAAGCGCTGCATAAACTAAACGCTGCAAGAGGCTCAAAAACACAACAGAAACCAGGGGACCGGAGCGCTTGGTGACGTTCAGGATTATAAAGCTGGACAACTGTCTCTGCTGGCAGAGTTAGTCTGTTCATAATTGTGTTTTGTCAGTATATTTGAAGTGACTAGGTTTGCTACAGTATGTTAACCTAAAGCAGATATGCAATAATATCAGAAAGAATCATGTGAAAATAAGCCAATAAAACATTTAGGTAGGTTTACAGTTGGCCAATTTTATAATCCCCAAATGTAAACAGGTGTTCCGGTTTTATTTGCATGGTTTTTGAAAGTGCACCGCGCTTTCCTAATGGAAATGTGCCCGTAAGAGGCACTGCAAGGCTGACATTATCTTGAAGCCGTTGTACACTGGTTGATCACTGTGAGAGCAGAAGACCATTGTTCTCTTTAGTGACAAGAAGTGCAACACTTGGTGGCATTGTCCCAGTAAGTGAATATTAATCCCAGAGGCAGAGATCCTCATTTGAGGAGCTTTGATGACCGTAATCTAGCATTTAGCGTCTCTATTAATCTCTTTGGATTACAGTATAGATAAGTGATGCAAAGTGGTTCAAACTGCCTCTAAATCTTCCCTCAACTTTAGCTCCATCTATGCAGTGTGTACATGCCGACTGCAGATATGTGACAGGGTCAGGGTGTGTGGGTATAATGCCATTCCTATCCTTATGTAGAGGTCAGAGGTCATGACAGAGATGGTAAATGGATATTAATCATTTACATGAATCCTGTTACAGTAAAGCAGAATGAAATGCAGTTAGTAAAACACCATCAAATCTTACGCTCTAAATACATATTTTATTATTCAGCAAACATTTTGAATCTGTGGTCCTGGATCCTGAGTCCTGGATCCTGAGTCCTGGATCCTGAGTCCTGCATCCTGGGTCCTGCATCCTGAGTCCTGGATTTCGAGTCGTGGCTGAACCTGTCTCTATGGTCCTGCCTGACTCTCTGTTGGGTTTCTTTGGAAATGTTTCCTTGTATGATGTGAGGGTCTAAGGACGGAGGGTGTCGTATTGTCATATTGATATTCTGTACAAACTGTGAAGTCCACTGAGACAAATGTAACATGTGTGATATTGGGCTATATAAATAAACATTGACTGATTGATTGATTGAATCTCTCATATATACAAAAACACGATGACGGAATGTATCCCCTGCTGTTTAAAACATTTTAATTCAGGAATTAGGAATCATATCGATAAAGAAAAGTAAAGGTGGTTCTATGATTAGATAATATCACTGAATGGCTTGAGTGTACAGTAGCTTAGTCTCTTGGAAATTGGCATGAGAACCAGAGGTTTGTCGGTTCAAGTCCCCGAATGAAACCCCACACTTCTCCCTGGCTGCTGTATAATAGCTGCTAATCCTAAAATAGGACAAAAGCAGAGACTAATGCCCCTTTCACACCAGCGCTTTTTCAGCTCCGGCTCGGAGCTGGAGCCTGAAAAGCGCCGGTTTTTCCTGTTCACACCGCAGCGGCGCCGGCTCTTAGCTCCGGAATCGGGTTCACTTCCAGCTCCAAAAAATTGTCGGTCTAGAGGCAAGAGCTTCGGAGCTAAGAGGTGGCGTTGCTTACGTCTCTCTTACGTCGAGGCGTGCAGGAAACTAAACCCTCCTCCCCTGAACATGGGTCGACTGTCATGCCTGCCTACAAGCAGTAGTGCTTATAAACACACTTTATAAAGTCAGGCAACACTAACCAGGCTTCGTGTGATTCTGTTTATTTGTACCTTACTTTGACCATCCGTTCACTGTTATTGATCATTGTGGAGAGAGGCAGACGTTTTGTTTTGTATTATAGCAGCTATCGGATGGAATCAATACATGGGCTGCACAGGTTGTCGTGTCCGACTATCACAAGTAGAATCATAATAAAAATACGCCGGTAAAATGTGCCTGTAGAAAACGGTTTATGCCACAATAGGATAGCAATAGCAAGTAGTCAGTTTAGCTTCGGTTGCTATGCTAACATCACCCATTTTATACCAGAGAAACTTTCATAACAGCGTTGTGATGCCAAACAGCGTCAATTCAGACTGACACACATTCACTTAGGCTAAGGGGAACTGGGGATATGTATCAGCTGCTTGTGTGAGTCGGACAGTGAATACTTTAGAGCGGCCGCTGCAGTGTGAGCTAACCGGGAGCTAACGGAGGAGAATAAACTCCCGTGGAAGAGCAGCCAACACTGCTGCGGTCGGTAAATGCCGCAGAAACACATTAATAAACAATGAACCACGGCACTCTGGAGAAAAGTATAAGGTTGGAGAAGTCGTTATTCAATTTAATCTGGCTTCGTGTGATTAAAAGCAACACGTTCATCGACCCGACGCAGTTCCCCGTTGTTGTGAGCGCCGTAACGCCGTTGGGGAGCAAATCAGCGATGTAAACGGTGACGTCATGACGCAGCAGCGGCAGCACCAGTCGGGTGCTGGGCGGTGTGAACAGAGCGGGAGCAGAAAAGGGAAACCGGAGCTGAACCAGAAAAGCTCTAGCTCGGAGCTAGAAAGGGAAAAGCGCTGGTGTGAAAGCCGCATAAGTGTCCCTGCATATATTTGAGTAAATAGGAATTCATTTCTATCCTTCAGAGAAAGTAAGAAAAATGTTCGAGACATTTGACTTATTGCCTTCCCATATCAAAATAGTAAACCAGGAGAGAAGATGCAGAATAGTCAGAGAAAGATGTTAGAATAGGTACAATTCATGTACTGTAAACGCATGGGGTGGTTTCTATCTCTATCGGAATATCAATTTGACCCACCGTGTATAAACATAATGCAACAAAATATGTCCAAGTAGTATTTGCAGCACAGTTATACATATTATTTATAAAAACTGTTGTTTGAATAATACATCTTTGCAACAGATGTCACTTGAATGTCCTCATTTATAAATCGGATCCTTTTGTTGGGTAACTTTTTCCACTTCCTGTGGATTTGTGTAATGTGTTGTGATCCCTGGTTCTTACACTACATTAGTGAGACAGCTGCCAATCCCTGGGCTCCACACAAGTCACATCACTCTGGCCAAATGTCACTATGAGTTCATATGGGACCAACTCAAATTGGTGTCACCATTTTATCTAAATCCGATTCATTGACTTTAGGTCCCGAAACCCAACAGTCATAACTTATGCAATACAGACTAATACAATCTTGTGCATAACCCTGCTACGTGTATGTGCAATATACACTCTTTTGAATTCTACTTTTGTTAATCTGAATTCTACTTCACTCAGCAAAAATCATTACATACAATCTCAACGTTATGTTCACTTTTAAAATGCTGTTCCTTATTTTAACCATAGAGTATAGTGTATGTATTTGTCTTTATAATTTGCTAACGTGTGCTTGTCTCTATATGTAATACTGTATGTTGGCTTACTTTAAAAAAATTGGATTTCCTTTTATCTGCCTGTCACTTTTGCTGTCTCGCTCTCAAATGTCCCTGATGCGGAACTAATAGAGAATTTCTGATTATAATTAAAGTAAGAAATTAAATTAAGTATACACTCTAGACTAGACGTATATCTATATACAAAATCACAAATATTTGAACTATGTAAAGAAATTACTCAGATAATTAAAAACAATTATATGATATCCAGATACTTTGCATTGCTTTAGCTAAGGGTTGGACAAGTCAATGTCAGACATTCAAGCATCAAAAATGTCTGCAGGAAAAGAAGAGGCAAGGCTCAAAGCTTAAGCTCTGAATACATATTTTATTATCTAGCAAACATTTTGAATCTGTGGTCTTCGATCCCGAGTCCTGGATCCTGAGTCCTGGATCCTGAGTCCTGGATTTCGAGTCCTGGATTAACCTGTCTCTATGGTCCTGCCTGACTCTCTGTTGGGTTTTCTCTGGAAGTTTTTCCTTGTACGATATGAGGGTCTAAGGACGGAGGGTGTCGTATTGTCATACTGATATTCTGTACAAACTGTGAAGTCCACTGAGACAAATGTAACATGTGTGATATTGGGCTATATAAGAAAACATTGATTGATTGATTGAATCTCTCATATATACAAAAACACGATGACGGAATGTATCCCCTGCTGTTTAAAACATTTTAATTCAGGAATTAGGAATCATATCGATAAAGAAAAGTAAAGGTGGTTCTATGATTAGATAATATCACTGAATGGCTTGAGTGTACAGTAGCTTAGTCTCTTAGAAATTGGCATGAGAACCAGAGGTTTGTCGGTTCAAGTCCCCGAATGAAACCCCACACTTCTCCCTGGCTGCTGTATAATAGCTGCTAATCCTAAAATAGGACAAAAGCAGAGACTAAGTGTCCCTGCATATATTTGAGTAAATAGGAATTTATTTCTATCCTTCACCTCCTCATATTAATGTAGAGAAAGTATGAAAAATGTTCGAGACATTTGACTTATTGGCTTCCCATATCAAAATAGTAAACCAGGAGAGAAGATGCAGAATAGTCAGAGAAAGATATTCAGGTTCTTTCAACGATTGAAGTATAGGCAATACCAAAGAGCAACTGAATATCAGGCAGACTTTCATATCCTATTGAAGATGTATTGAAAAGAGCCATAGCCTGCTTGCTGCGGTCAGGTTTTATTGGAAGGAAATTAAATGTCTAAAGCACTCCACTGTGATCTGAGTGGAAGAAGGTGGCCCAATGTTCTAATCTTCTTTATGCTCTTTGTGTTGCAGGACCTGCCATCCCTGTGGGAGTGGACGTTCAGGTGGAGAGCTTAGACAGCATCTCTGAGGTTGATATGGTAAGAAAGCCTGTGTTTATTAAAACCTTTCTAGAAGTATTTGTGTATTTTACTTTTTATATCTTTATGTTGCTTTGTTGGAGGAGCTTGGGATTGCCAACACCCACACTGAAGCTTTTGTGCATAATATGCCGATTAAACCTTTGGATCTTTGAGAGCTGCATACAATGTGACGGAACTTTAAAGATGATGCAGGTCATAGTATGAGACCTGCGATACACTTGTATTAATTGCCATGAATCCCATTGAGAGTTATTCATTAAATAATACGTTATGGAATATATGTATAACTTGTGGGATAGCATCAGAGGTGGGGACTCAAGTCTCTATATCAACAGTTTAGGTGAAAATGTGAATGAAGTTACTTTACATTTTTATGCGGACGATACCGTGATGTATTGTGCAGGTCCCTCCATTAAGGAGGCTGGTGTTAAATTACAGGCTGTTTTTAACATTATTCAGACTCAGCTCTCTGAGCTTAAGCTTCTTTTAAATGTTGATAAAACCAAGGTAATGCTCTTTTCTAAAGCTAAAAAGACACCAGAGCCTGTTTTAGATATTGTTACTATGCAAGGACAAGTACTCAAAGTGGTTACTTGTTATAAATACCTAGATATCTGGCTTGATGATTGTCTTACTTTTAATCTTCATGTCAATAACCTGCTTAAAAAGCTGAGGGTTAGACTAGATTTCTTTTTCAGAAACAAGTCCCGTTTCTCGCTTGAGGCCAGGAAAAGTCACTGTGACTTTTTTACCTGTGCTGGACTATGGTGATTTGTTGTATATGAATGCACCTGCCAATTACCTGAGCAAGTTAGATGCCGCCTATCACAGCGCACTGAGATTTGTCACAAATTGTAAAGCACTTACTCATCACTGTACCCTGTATGCCAAGGCAGGTCTGCCATCACTTACTGTAAAGAGGCTCAGTCATTGGTACACATGGGCGCGGGAAGGAGGGTGCTGAGGGCGCTCCCCTCTCTGAATTATTATTTGACGGTTATTGCTGCTCCCGCTGTGCATAATCTGTGTAATATGTAGCCAATAAATTCCACATTGTTGGTAAAATAATATTTTGGCTTGCCCCGAATGTTGTTTCTGTAGCCCCGGACAATTCTACCTCCATAATATAATACATTAACCGTACTTTACGTGAACCTCATCAAGACACTAGAGGACGACAGAACTGTAATTTCCCGTGTTCAGTGAATGCAACAGAGGCAAGACACCAGACCAATCAGAGAGTTGCATGGAAATAAAAGTGTGCTTGTGTCATTCAAGCTCGGCTCTGTGTGTGTGCGGAAATAGCGCATTTAGTGTGTGTGTGAGAGAGGGAGAGAGGGAAAGGGAGGGAGAGGGAGAGAGAGGGAGAGAGAGAGAGGGACCGTGTTGTTAGCATCTGGTTAGCTAGCTGCACGAACGGACATACGGAGCTGTTGGTTCCACAACAAGCTGGAGGAGAGCTCTCCTCTCAGACTGAGAGGCTCAGGTGAGCTAAAGGACTCTCTGAGTGTTTAGATAGTTCACTTTAGTCTATAACTATGTAAATGTATCCTGTAAATATAATCTATGATGTCCTTTATTGTTTTATGTTTCATGTGGAACCTATATGCTGCAGGTCTCCCTTGAAAAAGAGATCTATGATCTCAATGGGACCAATCTGGTTAAATAAAGGTTTGAAATTAAATGAAATGATGACTTGACTCGAGTCAGACTCGAGTCTCATATTGTTTTACTCGAGACTTGCTTGACTAACATTGATAAAAGACTTGACTTGACTTTGACTTGGTATTGACTTGACTTAAGCTTGAGACAGATGACTTGAAAGGACTTGACTGTTTACAATTAAATACATTTGCGTTTGTTTTTGTAGTGAGATATTACGTTTAGTTTTTTCGAAAAATGTGATTGGGTGATTATAGTGCCGCGCCGCAAACCTGGCAACCCACTAGAATGCAGGAGTCTCAGTTAACATGGCAGCGGCTAGCGTTACTCCAAAAACAGTGAAGTTTGGATTCAAGGATTATGTTGTCGATGACGCTAATAAGAAGAGAACAGCGGTATGCAGGGTCTGCAGCATAAAGATCAGTGACACGACCACCACAACATCCAACTTCATTCGTCACTACAAAAAAACCCACAGAGAAAGGTGCGTGCATGTGTTGTGTTAGCTAGAATGCTAACGTTAAGTTTAAGCTACGTTAGACTTGGTTTCAAATCGATTAAGCAAAGAGAAGACAAAACGGTAAATGAACACTAGAACCGCCAAGGGATTCATTTTGACTAACCCTGATACTGACGGGCTGTCAGGAGAGGGAGAGAGAGGAAAAGAGATGCCTCGTTTATTTCCCCTGTGTTATTATCAGAAGTTACTGTACACTTTTGAATCATGTAGTTCATCTACTTTTAGTAGTTTGTTTAAATGTTTTAATTATGTTGTTTTTGTTTGTAGAAGTAGTTTGAAGCAATTTCAAAATGAACCCAATTAAGTGAGTTTTAAATCGTCCTACTTAGTTTATAAGGAAATTATGAAGAGGAACAAATTAAATGATTTGAAAATGATATCTATGTAGGTGCTGACGCTGTTGGCGGTTCTAGTGTTAACAGAAATGTAAATTAATTTATGTGTAATGGCAAATGCCATATGATTTTCTTACCTGGAAAACAGACTTTTTGAACAACTTTTTGAGTCCTAGCTATATTTTTCTGCAGTTCTAGGGTTAATATGAATCTAATATGATTGTCATCGGTCTAAATTAGATTTTAAATTATTAACTGTATATGTATCATAGTGTGGGTTGAATCCATTTTCATAACCACTGTCTTTTAACTGATTTAAATGCGGAAACTGGGCTTATTCATCAGAATGTTGTATGACTTGCAGTGTGAGAAAAAGTTTTTAGAGAGTACTTGTCCATGGACAAGTGAGTTTGGCAATTTACTTGTCCGAATACATTTTTCACTTGTCCAGAATGGACAAAAATTGGGGCCACTGGAATCTTCTTCTTTGCCATCGTATTTTACATTTTCCCACGGTTTTTATGACACCGCTAACGTAAGTGAGCGGTAATATTTTACTGCATCACACATAGGGTTGGGTATCGTTTGGATATTAACGATTCCGGTTCTGCTTTTCGATTCCGGTTATTTTCGGTTCTCGATTCCGGTTCTTTGAGAGGGTTAATAAGTCCCATGACAAACTGGGAGAAAAATATATTTATGAAAACATTAAGTCAAATCTGTATTCCTATTTACAAATCACTTCATACTGTTGAATTTCTTACGGTTATTGAATACAATTATATAAAAATAATCTCTGCATTGTTTAGTTAGTTCTAAGTGGTGCAGTTTGAGAATGTACAATTGGCCCAGTGTCCTCTGATGTTACACTGCAACCTGCCTGTGAGACAAAGTCCAACCATACATGTCCAACACATAGGCCTAATAATAATAATACATTATATGTATAGCCTATAGGCCTAGCACTTTTCTACAACTCAAAGACGCTTGCACGCTTACACATGTCTTGCAATACACATGCTGCTCACTGTTTGTAAAAGTAAATAAATAGTATTTTCATTTCAATAATGTACTTTCTATACCCTGCTTCATAAACAATACTGACATCCCTGTGCTCCTCCGAGTCTGGGGGTCCGGGGATGTGAGGACAGCGTGAGAACAAAGACAGGGAGGCTGCTTTACTTCATAAAGGAAATGGTGGTCAATATTAACAACACAGGCGAGATGCATTTCCTTAGGAATCGACAAGCAGAACCGAAACTAACATTTCTAAACGAACAATGGTGGACACGTACAATTTGCGAATGACTTCTGCCTTTTGTAAACTGAATTTATCAATAATTTGTCAATAAATCAGGGCGAAAAACGTCACTTGTCCACCGGACAAGTCAATTGAAAGATCTACTTGTCCGATATTGTAAATAACATGTCCCGGACGGTGGGACGTGTACTTTTTCGCACACTGACTTGACTTGCTTGACTCTCACCACAGTGACTTGGGACTTGCTTGATACTTGTAGGTCAAGACTTGAGACTTGCTCATGACTTGCACATGTAGGACTTACTCCTACCTCTGGACAGCATTATCTCCTTTCCTTTCCTAAAGGATGGTCCAGTGTATACTATGCTAGAGGAGATAGCAAAGGAAGCATTTAGGCTCCTTCCCTATCATATAAAGGATTCTAACAGCTCCTAGCATGGCTGGCACCTAGAGACTTCCGGGTCATTTCACTCCGTTGAAAAAGATATTCGACCACAATCCTGGAGGTTCCCACCTGAGGATGTGTGTGTGCAGTTCGATTGACGTCAGTTAACTGGAGCCATAACAGGCTTTAATTAATGAGTCACATCTCAAAATCAATGTAACAACCGGTCATTATGTGTCTTTGTTGCTGTGGTCTTTACCGTTTTCGAATGCTTTCAAGGCTAGATGTCTTGCAGATAGAATGGTGATGACACTTCAGTTAATTACATTTTCTATCTTGAAGTGACTTCTATTAACAGCAACTGATGTTTTTATTTTCCCTGAAGCCTTTGAGATTGACAGGGATGTGACGCTTCCGGTAGATTGTTGTCTCCTGGGCTGTACTTTTAGAATCTACGTCCAGTGGATGTGTAGGATCTATAGTTTGATAAATATTACGGAGATTATTTGAGGTCTCGCCAGGAGAACGTGTATACTACGTCCTTCCCCCTATTCATTTCTATTGACGGCAGCGTCCATGTAAAGTTGGCGTCAACCCTCACGGGGTGAAAACAGTATTTCCGGTCTCGAAGTTTTCATAATAAAACCGGAAGTATTCCCCTCACTGTCAAATGATTTTACAGTGATATCTGCCGTACTCATCCACTAAAAAACATCAGTTTGTCCTTGTTAATTAATACAACCTTGATTGGTTTAAATGGTGTGCAATGCTTTTGTGTTTTTCCCCTTCGATTTGGAGAAACAAATAGTTTTTTCGGAGTTTAGGATGGCCGAA